CAAATACTAGAATACACAAAGGCCCTGCCTCGGGGTCACTGGGGCCTACCTTTGGCATGAGCCGCCTTCAGCATGGGCTCACCTTCTCCCCTCCCTGGCGTGGCCTTCCCACTGGGGTGTGTCTGCTGCGTCTCTCTTACAATTGCTGAGTGACGGATGCTTGTCTGACACACGGGCACACCTCTGCCCAAGCAGGTACAACAGCTACCCAGAAACATGTAGGAAAGAGGGAATCCTTGCCAGCGAGGTCACAAGTGGATGGGGCATTGGTCGGCCTGGGACTTATCACCCCCACCCACCTACTGGTCTGTTTGCTTCCAGAGGTGAAAGCAAATGGTGGACCAAAGGTGTTTGGGGAAAAAGGAAACAGTAAGTGTAAAGGCCCTGAGGCAGGAACAAGCCTGGCATTTTCAAGAGACAGAAACCTGAAATTTGGGGGCTGAGCTATAGCTCAGTGGTAGAGAGCTTGCCTAGCACCTGGGAGGCTCTGGGTTCGATCTCAGCACTCCATAAAAATAACTAAGTAAAATAAAAGTACTGCGTCCATCTACAACTAAAAATTAAAAGAAAAGAAACCTGGAGTTTGGAGAAAGTAGTCTGTGTGGCCAAGCTTTCTGATCTCAATCTTTCTGTTTTCTCAGCACTTGCCAGAAAGGGTGAATTTGAGCTACAGCAGGAAAGGCCCAGACATTCATACAGAGGAATGTGTCACCACAGTGGCCTCTTCAGCTCTGAGGGCTGTTATCATTCAGAGATGCAGATCGTTTCCTTTAGGTCATTTATTCACTCAACAAACATTTCCTGAGTTCCTACTCAGTATGCCAGACCCTGTACTAGACTCCAGAGAACACCTTTGAGCTCCTGACCTGACCCTTCTCCCCAGAACAGAAGCCAAAAGGCTCTTTTCTGGGGTGCCTGCTTGTGCCCAGGTACCTGTCACTCAGGGAGGGTCAGATCCTTTGGTCAGGTGCAGACAGTTGGTGGCTCAGGGAAGATTCTAGAAAGACCAACGCCTCCCAGCCCAGTGGAGACCGTTCTTCAGTTCCCTCAAGACCCCGCCTGATGCACCACCTCCATTCTCTCCTCTAGCCCCCTGCCTCAGGGAGACAGTCCCCCACAAAGAACGGCAGCCCGTCCAAGTGCCCCCGCTTCCTCAAGGTCAAGAACTGGGAGACGGACGTGGTTCTCACCGACACCCTGCACCTCAAGAGCACCCTGGTGAGTCCCCCAGACACGGTCCAGCATCCCCTGGACGGGCTCTTTGTCCCTGCTTGAGGGCAGCTGGTGGATACCCACTCACTTCTCTAAATGCTTTTTATCTGAGCACTTTGTTCCCGAGAGAAGTGAAGGGCCGTGGTCACTCTGACCACCGATGAAGTACCGAACAGACCCTGCCCTGATTTCACACTGGGTCCTCTAGACTTCTAGATCCGATTTTTTAATAGTGTCAACACACCAACATATTCCTTTAAGTTGGGGTTAGAAAAGGGTCTTTTGGAGAAATGTATCTGTTAGTTACTGCTGCGTAACAAACTGGCCCAAAAATTCAGTGATGCCTGAAAACGACTACTGTTTATGACTTTTGAAAAACCTCTGGATTAGCTGGGTGGTCCAGCCCATCAGAACCGGACACCCTGGATCTGAGTGAGGTTGTATCCTGTGCCCACAGCCACCTGAGGGGACAGATCAGGGCAGGCTGATCTAGGATGGCCCTGCTGAGGTGACTCTGTTGTGCACAGTCTCTCCTTTTCCAGCAAGCCAGCCTGGACTTGCTTGCATGGTGGAGGCAGAAACATGCAAGATCTGTTGAGGACTGGGCTTGGGCATGGTGCAGGGCCATTTCTGCCCACTCTATGGGCCAAAAGTAGCCGAGATCCAAGAGATGAGGACATACAGCCCCCTCTTGATGGGGAGCCGCTATCAAACCACACTCCAAAGGGAAAGCTGGGAGGAAAGAATCGGGGTCATTTTTGCAATTAATCTATCAGAGACGTGTTCAAATGAGCCACTGCCCCCTCTGTTAGAATGAGAAAGTATCCTGGGG